AATCCTATTTCTTTTTGGCTGACAGCTCATGCAGAGAAAAACACTCTTTGATCCAGACAAAGGTAAATGTAGCTTAAATCCCAACACAAAACCCTGACCTTCCATAACCAGCCTCTAGTCCCAGTCCACGGTGACCCCAGACACCAGAGATATAAGAAAACACAATGCATTTCTCACTGTTGGGCTGTAACAATTTAATCACCGTAGAAGGCAAAATGCTCAAAGGGTAGAATAACAGATGATTTTTAGGACTTAAGAAGAGGGGGGTGGGGAGAACAGAATGGTGTCTTTCCTCATATTTGTTTAATAGCAGATACTGAATGGAGCATCTATTATAGGTGAACATACAGAAAGTGAACATAAACCTGAGTAAGTAATGAGATATCTAGAAAAATGAAACAAATCGTTAACAGTTAACACAGGATCTCCCCCCTTCCCCCTCCCGCTTTTTATATTTGAATCCACTCCTACAGCTTGTTGAATTCTAATCAACTACAAAACCAGGGCAAAATTGCAGTTCTAAGATGAATTTTCAATATGATCTCTTCTTATGTGCCTTTACAAACACGATCATTTAAGAAACCAAGTAAAGCTAGATCTGAATATAAAAATAGGGCACGCTTGAGAGGAAGATCTAAGGGCAAAATGAGCTTGACCCTGAAGAATCATTGCTTTTATAAAATTAAATACAGATTGAAGTCAGGTGCTTTAGCAAACACACACACACACACACACACACACACACACACAAATATATATGTAATCATATATATTTTTAGAAAAGAAATACGTTTATTTCACATTTGTACTAAATTACTTCCCTAAGACACATTATATTCTGATTTCTGGGATAACTATGATTGGAATCTGTATGCTTTTGTCCCTAACTCAAGCAAGCGTGGTTGGCCTGCGTGGAAGGTCACTTCCCAGACATGCGAGCACCTGGGGCAGCTGACTTCTACAAAGACAGAAACGCTCTCATTTCCGGATTCAGACTCGTACCCTACACTTATCCCCTTGCTTTAGGCTGCCCAAAGCTGGTTTCTTTCATGCCCTGTGAGCTTTGCTGCTGAGGTCCATGGTTCCTTGTTGGTGTAAGGAACTCAGCCCAGTCCTGCCACTGCCTCAAGCCAGTCGCCCACTCATTTAACTATGAGCTTGATGTGCAGCCCAGTGTGAGGCCAGAGAAAAGAGATTTCTGTGTTCAGAGGGAGAGAATATTTAAGATTGGGCCTTTGTTTTAAGATTTGAGACTCAGTTTTGTCCTTTAACAGTATATATATCAACTAGTGACTCAGTGCGTGAAGCTGCGCGAGACGCAGACCCACAGGAAAGCATGTGAGACCCGCTAGCATGCTGCGGGATCCAGAGTTAAGTCCCCGTCCACCACACGTGCCTTGCTGTGCATGCAGCCTCCTGGTGACTGGTCTTTGTCATTATAGCATTACAATCACTGGGTTTTTATTATATAGACGAGAGGCCAAGTGCATGATATTGTGCACTGGGGGAGCATGTCCTTCAGCCCAGCCTGCACCCTCTCCAATCTGAGACCCTTGGGGGATGTCCAACTGCTAGTTTAGGCCCTATCCCATCAGGCCTAAACTGGCAGTTGGACATCCCTCTCACAATATGGGATTGCTGGCTCCCAACTAATTGCTTGCATGCCTGCCTGATTGCACCTAACTGCTTCAGCCTGCCAGCCAGATCACCCCCCACTGCCCTTTCCTGCCAGACTGACTGCTCCCACTGCCTTCCCCTGCCATCCCAGTTGCCCCCAACTGCCCTCATCTGCCGGCCTGGTTGCACCCAAGTGCCTTCCCCTGCTGGCCTGATCACCCCTAAGTGCCCTCCCCTGCTGGCCATCTTGTGATGACATGGGGGTGGCCATCTTGTGATGACATGGGAGTGGCCATCTTTTGACCGCAGGGGACAGCAATCTTGTGACTACATGGGGGTGACCATCTTGTGACTATATGGGGGCAGCTATCTTGTGTGAGGGTGTGAAGGTCAATTTGCATATTATATATTTATTTATATGATATCCCAAAGGGATTTTCCTTGGATGCATTTTGCTTTGAATTTGGAATTGGCTTTTGATGCTTTTCATTTGATAAGGCACAGGCACGGAAATACATCCATTGTTTAGACTAGAACTTATTTTGCACTTGATGTAAGAAAAATATGGCATGCTTATTCAGGGTAATTGCACAGAGGGAAGTGAACCCAGTTTATGTAAAGGATTATTGAAGAAATAGAAAACTTCCAGAGAAAGCCAGCTAAATCATTCATTCAGGCACCGACTGACATTTTGCCCAGATATGGATCCTGTGTTTTGCCAGCTTCTAAAGCAAAGCAAAGAAGCAATTATTTAGAAGTTATGGTGAAAAACCGTATTGAAAGAGAGCAAGCCTGGAAGATAGATATGTATTAAGTGACTATTCTCTCTTAAATAATTTAATTCACAGACCATGAAACTAGGCTCTGGGAATTATCTCTCAGCTTATGTCTTTACCTGGCAACATTTGATATTCTATCATTAAAATACATAAAAATGCAACATAAATTATGTCACCCAAGTTGTTGTTGTTGTTTAATCCTATTGATTTTAGAGAGAGGGGAAAACAGAGAGAGATAAAGAGAGGGAGAGATAAATATTGATCCATGTGCATTCGATGAGAGATCGGCCCCACAACCTAGGTATGTGCTCTGACCAGAAATTGAACCTACAACCCTTTAGCACATGGGAGAATGTTCCAATCCATTGAACCACACCAGCCAGGGCATGTTACCCATATTTTATTTATTTATTTATTTATTTATTTATTTATTTATTTATTTAATTGATTTTTTTATAGAGAGGAAAAGAGAGGGATAAAGAGCTAGAAACATCAATCAGCTGCCTCCTGCAAACCCTTCTGGGGATGTGACCGCAGCCAAGGTACATGCCCTTGACTGGAATCAAACTCAGGACCCTTCAGTCTGCAGGTCGACGCTCATCCACTGAGCCAAACCAGTTTCGGCTCACCCACTTTTTAAAAGAATAATTATCTCTCAGCTCTGGCCGGGTAGCTCAGTGTGTTAGAGTGTCATTTGATACACTAAGGTTGTGGGTTCAATCCCTGATAAGGGTACATATAAGAACCAAACAATGAATGCATAAATAAGTGGAATGACATCCATCTTTCTCTCTCAAATCAATAAAAAAATTTAAAAAAGAATAATTATCTCTCATTCTTTTACCGATTTCTATTTTAGTTCATGATTAAAATTTTGTTGTACACCAAATGGGTGTAGTGTAGGCTTAAAGACTAGCTTCTTTGAAATGATTTGTGTCTTTTACAGTTCCAGTTAGTGTCTATAAAATCTATCTAATGCTAAAAAAAAAAAACACAAAAAAAACCTGATGTGAAGAAATTGTAAATCTAAGTCCTTTCCTCTGCTTTCTATAGAAAAAGTATAAATTTCTGAAGAGGTCGATGTAACATTTTCATCAGTTAATTGTTTTCTAGATCTAATCACAGAAACATTTCAACCAATCAAAAAGCAAGTAGAAAAAAAAAACCCATCTTTAATGGATGCCTTTGAATAATTTCTTTTCCAGATTGCAAATAAATTGTTTTTATGTTTTCTATTTGGCCGATTCAGCAGACACACAAATGAATTACACGACACAGACAAATGCAATGCCTGCATGGAACAAAGGCTGTCTACTCTATCAGGGGAAGACAAGCAAATGCAAAGAAAGGATTTTTCACACTTGCAAAAATATAGGCTCTATCTGCCCTGGAGAGAACCACTGGGCAAGATATCTTGTGACAGTGCCTGTGAGGATGTCTGAAATAAAAGCATTCTCCTAGCACCCCCATCCGGAATGAGCATATGGCGTTTAGGAAAAGAAATGCCCATTGGCAATGCCTCTCCCAGCTAAATGGGCTTCTGTGCAGTCTCTAGTGGATCAATATACCAGTTAGTCAACCCACACATCAGGGTTTCTTGCCCCTTAGAAGCAATGGTAGTGTTTGCTACTGGTGAACATGATCTGTGTATTCATAAAACAGCCTGACGCCACTGTGGTAGATTTAGAAATGCAGTCCTTGGGGTCTACTATGCCGGAATCCCTTTAGCTTTCTAATTGAATCCTTCAAACTTTGTAATTATGCTTCCATGTATTTATAGTCATAAGAAGTCAGTTTTAAATCAGATACTCTATAGTACCATATATATATATATATATATTTTTTTTTTTCACCCCATGTACAAAGTTTGGGATAAAAAAGTGCAGAAAGGTGGAAAAATACAATAAATGGAAGGGTAGAACATTCTAAAAACTACGAATTTCCCTTGTTCTGTCAAATATTTTAAGGCTTAGAAAATTTATTAGTGTTTTAAAGCAGTTTAAGAATGATTATAAACCCTCTTTCAATCTATCACTATTGGGGTGAGATCGTGTTCCCTTACTGTGAGCATACAGTAGGAGCTCAATAAATGCTTGTTTCAAAGGAATGAGTGGCTCTAAAGATACTTATTAACTATGACAGGTAAATTTATAAGTAGTGTTATCTTTGTCCATGGCATTTATGTAACAAAATTGGGTTCAGTATAAGAACTGATGCAAACGAATACTATAAGAATGGAAAATTTAAAGGTGGAAGTTTAAAGAGTTAAAAAAAAAAAAAAAAAGTCTAGGGCCTGCCCATGAATTTCTAAATATGGGATGCTTGACCAGGAAAATGGCCATGAGTACTGGTGAATGCATTTCAGATGAAAGGACATTACCAATACAAAGCTGAGTAAGTTTAAATTAACATCAAGAAAATGCTCCTATTTGTAAAAACAACCATATACATTAAGAAACATGATATTCAATGTTGTGCAAACTTGCTTGTAGTGTCCTCAAATCAGTGTCCATGGGCAGATGCATAGAAAACATCACCTTCAACGATAAATATATCAAAGCAACGAGCCTGCTGCTTCCTGTAAGTAGATGGAGTCTGGCCACGTCAGGGCTGTGCTTCTGAGTGGCTGGCCTGGATATGCGAAACCTGCAGAACGGGCAGCAGCAGCTGGAAGGCATCCTGGATGTATGTGGTGCTGTTGCAGCCCTGAGAGAGGAGAAACATGTGGAGGAAAGGATCTTTTCTTAGTTCAATCCTGACAATCCTTCCAACTTGATAACGTTCCCTTTCATCAAACTCTATAATATTTATCATATTTTTCTTGTAACTTTGGTGCTTAAAGCAAATGTAAACACATTCCTTAGGATTCTCTTAATGTTCTATACTAACAGAGAGAAGAATCCACTCAAAATGAGAAAAGCCATTTCCATAGATTTCGAGGGCACATATTGTGTGTATATTCATGACTCATTATGTCCAGATTTAACTATCCTCTTCCCAGATCAACCCCACTGTCCTGAAATTACATAAAACCACAGTATGCAGGGGAATCCCTGTTTGTCCTAACCCGCAGATGGAAAAACAAGAATGGTCTGCATAAAGCTAACTGGAAATACTGTGCCATTATTCGTGGCAAACTTTGAATGCTAGCATCCTCCCATGCACACTGGTACCTTCTTCTTGGTTTGGTGTTTGATGCTGTTGGCATGTTCTCTGCCATACATATGGCATCAGAGGGAGAGGCCATTTAAAGTTTCAGATGACTAAAACATGAGAAAACTTCCACTGGGAGAATGAATAAAATATTGGACTTCATATTCTCCATGACTGACATGGTCAATTACTCTGCTAATGCCCTCTGGGTGCGAGGGGAGAGATTTCTCTGTTCCACATTCTGCCTCTGACTGCTTGGGTTTCCTCTTAACTGTGTCTGTCCCCCCCTCCCCCCACACACACACCTCCCCAGAACCTGCCACTACACACCTTGCCCCTTGACCCCATCCCATGTGTGTGGCTGTGTCTTATACAACACTCGGTGCCCTCACATTGCTACTTTTTTCTGGTACCTTGGTAGTTTTCCTGAATAGTAAGGCATGACTCCTAAAAATATTGCTATAAGTATAGGTAGCCCTCCCTTACTTGAAGTTCTGTAATTACAAAATTTGCAATTGACAACTGTAAACAAACAAACAAACAAACAAATAAATAAAATGACAGTATATGCATTACCCATGTTTAAACTTAACTTGGTAGCACCTTACGGCTTCAGCGGGGTGCCCTGTGGCTACAGAGATGTCTGCTTCTTAGTGTGTAGCCCCTAAGGGAAGGTTCTCCCCCACAACCACAGGCTGAACACAGCGCCTTATGGCTCAAGAATGTTCCCGAGTCTCTGGTACATCCCTGTGTCTGGCAAAGACACAGAGGTCAGGGCAGCTTCCTGTCTATGCTACACTGTCCTGCTGAGTGGACAGGCCACGGAGCGAGCGGCTGCAGGGGAAGGCGCGTCTGGGTCACTGAACAGGCAGAGAGGCTAAACTGTCTATGTGCCATTTTGCCTGTCTGGAGCTTAGACCCAGCTACACCAAAGACGATGATGAATGAAGAGAAGCGCCCATTTTCACGAAAATCACCATCGAGAAAGAATCCCTTCCTGCAGCCAATAACCTCAGAGTCAAATCTGGTGTCAAACCGGGCCACAGAAAGCTGCCTCAGCCGGAGGAAACAGCAGCAGGAATAACGTGCAAGCTTTGCATTTATTTCTCTTCCTAATCAGGAGTTCTTGGAAATCTCGTATTGCTGCTTCACCCTCAGGTTTGCAGCTGGCGGAGCTCCGCAAATGTACTCCGAAGAAGTCGGTTGGCGATAAGATTTAGAAATGCACTAACACGTGCCGCCTGGGGAAGAAAATGTAGCTCCAGCATTTGCTTTGATTCAGAAGCACTTTCTCTCCGGGGACACTCACCTCTAACAATACACTATTGATCATGGGGTTGAGGACCTCGGCCTTCTTGTCGCTCTGTGGAATGAAAGGGATGAAGTTGACAGATTAGGTGCTCATACTGCCAGGCGTGCCACATAAGATGCCAGACACCGGCTTCGTGGAGGATCTCTCGGAGAGGAAGGGGAGATGTGGGAAGCTTACGCTAGATCAAGCTTCATCTTGGAGCATGGTAACCTCCATCTTGGGTAAAAACTGCTATTTAAAATTTTAACCCTGCTATTCTGGCTTCTGTAAACGTTTGTTTGCTTAAATAACAGGGAAAAATAAGACTACTCCCATTCTAGAGAGGCCATAAACTATGCCCAGACAGAGCTGTCAGTGCTGGCACCAGGCCAGGCCTTGAGATATGGTCTCACAGCCTGTCCCAGCACACAGGACTTTTTTCTCAGAAGGTCTGGAAGTCTCATTCCAAATTTGGAAAACAAAGAGCTGAAAAACATATAAATAAGGGACACTTCCATCATATTGGGCCCCAGAATTTGAGAAGCAAGATTTCCTCGGGGCCTGCTAGCGCTAGAGAAATGAAAAGGACTCCAAATAAATTTGGCTTATTGATTAAGGTGTTGTCTGATTTACAATATAACCATCTTTGCTGTTTCCCCTGGATGACCTCATTGAATTTGGCAGGAATCCTAGGTAGGTGCCATGACAATCGTATTTTGAGATGAGATGGCAGTCAGCATGGTTGAGTAGCTTGTGTGAGGTCACACAGCTAGAAATTGAAATGCAGACCTGTGTTAACTGCTGAAGGCTTGTAGCAGGTCTGGGATTAGTGAGGGGAGTGAGGCTGGGCCTAGCAGTGCAGGGCTGGAGCCTGTCTTTACTTAAAATTGTTTTGTATTCATTTTGATTTTTAAAAAAATGTTGCATTAAAATATTTGTCTAGATGACTGAAGTTGTTTCTTTGTCTTTGTTGGAAGGAGTCCCCTGAAAATTTTCAAATGAGTTAAGAATCTTACTTGCCTCCCTTAGTCCCAACCCTAGTCATTAGTCTCTTTTCCCCTCCCCTCCCCTCCCTTACTCTCCTTTTCCCCTTCTCCCTCCCCTCCCCTTCCCTCTTTTTTTTTTCATATTAAATTTTTTATTGTACTAATTTTCTTTCTGTGAGATCAGTTCTTTTCCATTTAAATTTTTCAATGTTTTTCTTCATTTCTTTCTTCTTTTAAATGCAAAACTTGAGTATTTGGTTATAGGGTGTGTCTTTCATATTAGCAGCAAAATTAAAACAATCTTAACTATAACTTGCAAACAGGTCTGCAGATACTGGTTTGCAAAACATGAGTATTCTGTAAGGCACAGAATACAGAGCCTGATATAAAGCAGAACAGAGAGCCTGATATGAAGCAGGTATTAAAAAAATGAGCACTAGTGTTAGCATCATCATCATTGTCTCCACTGTTGGTCTATCCATCAACAGTCCTCTCTGTCTAAAATGTTCAATCTACTCTTGGACAATAAACAATTAAAGGGACTGGAAGGAGAGGGGGCAATTTTAATAGACTGCTTTTCCTGATTGTACCCAGAAGACGTTATGGTAAACAGAAGAATATAAATGAAATACATCTTCCCCCTTTCATTGACATTACTCTACTGGGAAACCATAATGAAGTCTTGGTGGAAAAAAAAATCTTTAGAAGCCCAGTCATTTTAGTAAGTAACCAGAAAACCCATTATGGTATTTGCTTTCATGTTTACTTGATTATCAATAAATCTCTAAAATATAATCACAATGACATTGATTTTTAGAATCAATGAGATGTGCAAGCAATTTTAATGGAGTCTGGAGAGCAATATACTCTCATTAACTTCAAGTTATGAGTAATGGCTGTTGTGAAAAACAGAAGCAATGACTTGATGTAGACAATTCATCACAGTATCGGATGAGGTGGATTTTGAGGCGAGATGGCATTTCAGCATGCTCTAGTTAGACATAGCTTTTTCTTTCTCCCAGATGTTAACTGTGTGTTCCTGATTCTGTGCACACACTATTTGTACACATTTGTGTATGTACAGTTGACCCTCGAACAACTTGGGGTTCAAAAATTTGTGGATAACTTTTGATGCCCCCAAAACTTAACTAGTAACAGCCTGCTGTTGACAAGAAGCCTTACTGATAACATAAACAGTCAATTAACACATATTTTGTATATGTATTATATACAAAAAAGATAAAGTACCAATAAGAAAATCATAAAAAATACACTTAGCCCTAGTCGATTTGGCTCAGTGGATAGAGCACAGGCCTATGGACTGAAGGGTCTTGGGTTCAATGACAGTCAAGGGCACATGCCTGGGTTGCGGGCTCGATTCCCAGTAGGGGGCATGCAGGAGGCAGCCCATCAATGATTCTCTTTCATCATTGATGTTTCTATCTCTCTCTCCCTCTCCCTTCCTCTCTGAAATCAATTACAAAAACATTTAAAAGAAAATGAGGCCCAGAACGGTTTGAAAGCTCACCCAATGTCTCAGAAATCTGAGGAGGCAGCGTCAGGGCTAACCCTCAGTCCGATGAGGGCCCTGAGCTGCCTGTTGTTAGAGAAGGTGTTCTTGGTCTAGTTTTGGTGAATGTCACGGCAGAGCTTCTGTTTGTGGATCCATCTTAGGAGGCCCTGAATCCTCCACTCTTCCTCAGGGCCCCTCAGAGAACCCTCTCCCTTAAAGTGGGGGTGGGGTGGGGGGGAAGAATCAGCATTACAATCTTACCCCAATTGTGGTCAAGGAATTTGTAAACTTCTTTGATAAGGAGGCCACTTCATTGCACATCGCAGTGGTTAATCTGAAATTAAAAAAAAAAAAAAAAGTGGTTTGAGGATTCTTAAGAAAGAAAAATAATTTAACCATCAAGATAATTACTGATACTAATATCATATTTCACTTAAAAGTATGGCACACAAGTTTGAAGATGTTCTGTAGAAATGTTTTTCTCAATAATCTTCCATGATTCACAAGCACTGCTGACTGGGTTTCTTCGCATGCTAATTAAGAATAATCATCTAATCCATTCAGGCCACACAAGTAAAAACCACAGGCAGAAAAGCACCAGTCTCAGGCTCCACCAGTAAAGGCATTTAACACTCTTACCAAGTTTCTCCAGCTTTTTAGTCATTTGAAAATAATAATGAACATTCATTGAGGTACTAAGATAAGTACTTTTGTACAAATAACCTCATTTAACTCTCACAGTGACCTGACTGGTTACATTATTATTCCCATTTTATAGATGAAGAAACGGATGTTTAAGAAGGTTAAGTAACTTGCTTAGGACAAGCAGCAGTAAGTGACAGAGCTGGGATTCAAACTCAGGCGTCGCAGATGATCCTGGTAGAAGATGTTTTGAAGACTTACATCAAAACTCCAACTTTATTCCAGCCATTCCACTTCTAAGGCTTTACCCCCAGAAAATAACACGAGATGGGCACACACATTTCACTAAAGGAATGCGTCAGAACATTATAGATGATGACAATGGAAAACAGTCTAATTACCTAATAATGTCAGTAATTTAAAAAAAAATAATATATGTGACTTTTATGAATCGTGACTAAAATGCGATTAGAAAAACAGTAACTCAAAGCTCAGAAAAGATCTAGTGCACTGAGTAGGAAGTAAGCTTTGTTTTGAGAAGTAGGGGTCCTTGTCTAAGCTATGCATTCAGGTTTATTGAGCAACATTCATCCATCCCTCCACCCAAAATTGCTCTCCAGAAAGGGTGTTTTCATCAATGTTAACTTTTCCTATTTTGTCTTTTCCTCTTCCTTCCACACATTAGAGTAATATTCTTTTCTAGGCATGTTAAGGGCAGGATTATACAGTTCTTATAATATCTTTGATTTTTACGTGTTTAAATAAGAAAATCTAGACTAGATGACAAATCATTACAAATGAAAAAAATGAGGCCTATCTTTACAAATGAGGAAAAATGTCACTAATATTGACTTTTTGGAAGGTCCTTCCACTAAAAGTTTGCTCCTCAACCTACAATGTCAAATGCAGTAATAAGAAAAGACTAGTCAGCTAGCGAGGTGAATGAGTGAGGTGAGATATGTATGTATATGCACCCATATATTTTTTGGAGGCTCTTATTTTGGCTTCTGTGTCTGTATAATAATGAGGTGGTATTTGGACTTGTGCTAATTTTCTATAGCACAATATAGAGTGACGTGCATAAAAGTTAATAGCTTATTTTTCCATTCCATAGCAACTATATTAATGAATACGCCATACCAATTATTTTCTTGTATACAGAGTTACGTATATATACATTTTTATTTCACTAGATGAACTGATAGTAACTTCAATTTATTGAAGAACATAACATATAACAGCACATACATGCATGCATGCAGTCCAGTGAACTGGCTTACATTAGCAACTGCCATTGCCAGAATTCAGAATAGGAAGAGCTGGCATAAGTCCCTAGGAACAGTGGGGGTGTGTTTGCATATTTTTATGAAGATTGCTGACAAGTCACATTAAGGGGTCCTCTCAATATCTGTGTGGTATGTTGTGTAATTACCTTTAAAGGTTAGTACTTCTAAGACTTGGGTCTATTAAAATAAATACTAGTACTTACTTAGCTCTGAATTATTTAAGGTGTCTTCTCTTAAATCTCTTCATAGGTAATTCCTGAAATATCTAGTTAACTATTATATCCTTACTGACATGGTTCACTTCTTAAGAGAGTCCTTATTCCTGAAGATGACCACAAAAACTGGAATTAGCTGACTTGAAATAGGACTCTGTAGTACCTAGGGTGTGTGTGTGTGTGTGTGTGTGTGTGTGTGTGCGTGTATTTGAATGGCACATGTATATAAAATTGGAAAAATAAGAGTATAAAATAACATTTACTTTATCAACACTTTTGCTTGGTCCTGAGCTGATTTCTCCTCTTCTTGTCCATGAAGAATTAATTCTGCTACTTTGTGAAGCTGCTCAATACAGCGTGCTGTGACTTCTGCCAGACTTTCGATGGACAGCATGTATACTTCCTAAAACAAGTGAATGCAAGTTAGAAAACTTACAACTGAGCAGATGCTTGAAACACACACACACACAATATTAAAAAATATGTATATATAATTTTTTTTAAAAAAGAACCAAATATGAACAGAAACAGTTTACCCAAAGATTAATGGGCATGTCTAAGACTTTTCTGAGTGAAAATCTGCCCTAAAATCCAAGCCAGTTCCCAATGTCATGGCAAGTGTTAGTCACAGCTATGTCCTTCCAGCGTTGGGTACTCTCCAGGCAGGCACTCAAGAAAGCTTGTAAAAGGGCAGTTAAATGAATAGACCTCAATGGTCATTTTTTCTCAGCGTGATCTAATTTTAAAAATTTCTTTTTCTAAAATTCAAATCCAATGTAAGATGAAGTTATCACAAACACATTTTTAAACATAGGCAGAATATAAATTATACATACATATATTTATTTAACTATAGAAAAAAACCTGTGCCAATAATTTTTTTCTTTTTTTGGAAAAAGCTTCAATTGCCTCATTAGTTATGGAGCATAAAGACATTTTATGATTACAGATTTGCATACAAGATGGAATTTCACTCTCAAGCTAAACCAACTATGTCCTTAAAGATCATTCCCTTCCTCCCCGACCCCCTTTAAATTATAATTGTAGAGCTATGGAGAAAAGTTACAATACCTATGCTAAGTCATGAATTATCTTGAAGTTGAGCAATTTTGGTGTTTATTATACTAATACTCATAGTTCTATATAAAAATGAAATGGCTTTTCCTCACTTAAAATGAGGCCAGTAATAAAATTAGCATACTATTACTGCTCTTTAGGTGGACAATCTAAAATAGATTTACCTCGACTGTCTTAGTTCTCCTTTCTTGCTTTTCGCCCTCTTCAGGGTTTTCAGGTTTCTCTTCCTTTTCTTCCTTCTTAGTTTCCTCTTCTGTCTCTTCTGCCACATCTACCGGCACCACAGTTTGATCGTCTTCCACCCAGTCGTGAGCTTTCTTCATGGCCTGTGAAGGCCCCAGCCAAAGCGAGACATTTATTGTGCAAATAGGAGGCTAAGATACTCCAGTCTCCAGACTAAGATCCATTTGCCCCAAACCTTCAAGGCTGCTTCTCTGTGCATTTAAACAATAATGGGGCAATTCCCTGCGCTCCTTACAAACACCTTGTTGTTGCTTTGGGGTGACTATAACATAGGAAAAGGGGGCAGAATAGAAAGAAAGCACAGAGAGCCCTAAGCAGGGTGAAGGATGTTTTAAAAAGCGCCCTAAAATGGTACTCAGGTAAGAATAAAAGTGACGGTCACTTAGAAAGGGTGAGAGTATATTTTGCACTTTTCGTGACCAACGATAAAAAACAATCACAGTACTTTTTAAATATATAGGTTAGACATTGAACCGGGGTCATTGCTAAAGCAAATGTCCTCATCTGCTATGTCTCATGAACATGAGAATGCATCATGCTGGGGAGGTGAAAGATGGCTCTGCTCTCTCTGTGTGAGGTCCCCTGGCCTCCGGGGGAGGAGAGAGGGCCGTGGGAAAGACCTGGCGTGGCACTGTGACAAGTTGAACTTCTCAAGAGTGCCCAAGAAATGATGGCTAGCCGAAACTGGTTTGGCTCAGTGGACAGAGCATCAATCTGTGGACTGAAAGGTCCTAGATTCGATTCCGATCAAGAGCATGTACATTGGTTGTGGGCACATCACCAGTACAGGAGGCACCTAGCTCTCTATTTCCTCTCCTTTCCTCTCTGTAAAAAAATCAATAAAATGTATTTTTTTTTTAAAGAAATGATGGCTAAATTGAACAAGCATCAACCACCTTCCTTCTCTGTTAGTCCTTGCATTTAGGAAGGGAGCTTTTAGCTTTTACCATTAAAGTTTAAGCTGTTTGCTTAAGTGCCAGTTGTAGCTGAGCTCAGGCTAAACTTACTTCTCATCTTAAAGCATACATGTCAAAGGTTAATATGTCAGAGTGTTGAATGTCAAGTCCATGGTAAGAAGATTTGGGGAGACAGAACCCAACAGCACTGTCCTTGGTGTGTCCCCTGGGGGACCCCGGGTTGCCTGACTGTGTACCTAAACCGGGAGGCCCTGGAGGCCCCCGCTCTCCGGCCAGTGGCAGGAGCTGCTCGGAGATGAATGAGGCAATTTCCCACTTTGCTCAAAACACCAGCCTGCCAGCATCGACGACCTCTATCAGAGATAGAGAAATTACTCATCTCTCCCCCTCACTGTCACCTTCTGCCCTCCCGGATAAACGAGGGCCTGTGGCAGCCCCTGGGTGCTAAAGAGAAGAAAGGGAGAACAAAAAGGGAGAGAGCAGGGAAAATGACACGGTTTTAAGTAATTCAGTGGACTTGTTAAAAAAAACTCTACAGCAAGACCTTGTACCAACTTCCAACACCGACTGTGGTCCCAGGAGGGGCACCCAGACTGTTGCCGCTTGAACATTCTTAGACAGGACGCGGCACCTGCATTCTAGGTGGGAGGGGGCACGGGGTCCCCTGGCCGATGTGCTTCTCTCTGCCTAATTCTGGCCTTGCCACTCTGGTGGGGGAGGAGAGGTGGCGTTTGAAAAAGCCCTTGGCGATTCTGGAACCCTCTTCTCTGCCCTATGCTGAAGGTAACCTCTGCTCCGACATAAAATCCTATTTTGAGGAGTGACTTGTTCAAGGTCATAAGGTAATTACTACTGATGCTGCATCTAAAACACAGGTCTAGCGTGTTCTCTACCATTGCATTTCATTATGTAGCCTCCTTGAATCTTTTAAATATATATATATATATATATATATATATATATATATATATATTATTGATTATTTTCACAGAGAGGGATAGAAAATTAAAAACATCAATGAGAGAGAATCATTGACTGGGGATGTGTCCACAACTAAGGTACATGCCCTTGACCAGAATCGAACCTGGGACCTTTCAGTCCGCAGGCCGACGCTCCATCCACTGAGCTAAACCAGTTTCGGCAGCTTCCTTAAATCTTAATTTCTGACCCTCCACCCATGTGTCATGTGGGCTGTGGGGTTTTTCCATTTCAGGTGGAGCTCTGGAATTTCATACCTGAGACCTTCTTCTAAAAAAAAAAACAACCCAAAAACTCAGACAGACGGTGCTGACCTTATTGAGTTTGTCAGGCGTGGCCGCAACATGCAATTCAAAGAGAAGCTCTGTGAGCATCCTCGCAAATTCTTCTCCCTTTTCCTCTGAGCCTAGAAATAGAAAATGACACAAGTAAGAAGCATGATTTATTTTTCATCGTTTTGAATGTGGCAGCTCCCCCCGCCCACAGCCTGCCCTCCAGCTGCCAGCAAAGATGAGTGTCGCCCACTTAAGAGATGGCAGCGAGGCAGCAGGCTGCTGCGGGGTGGGGGTTGCTGGAGACTCACAGTACTTGGTGGGCTGCCCCCTGGCTGGCCTGAAGGCAACTTGGGGGAGGGTGGGAGGGACTTATCTGTCTCTAGGTGGTCAGTAGCTATTTGCTGAAAGAATGACGGATGAACAAATGAATGGCCTTTCTCAGGCCCGAGTGGCCTGCACCAACACTGCGTCATGCCTAGTATTGCAACTCTGATGATACCCAGAGCCTCTTCGTGTCCACAGAGCCACAGTGCTGAGCAAGCCAAATTAGTCTCCATGGAGGAGGCGATGTCTGATCTGAGCCTTCAAGAGTGAGAAGGCAGTCCTGGCTGCTGTGCTCAGTGGTTAGAGGGTATCGGGTTTGATTCCCTGTGAAGGACATGTTCCTGGGTTGCAGGTTCATTCCCTGACCCTGGTTAGGGTGCATACAGGAGGCAACCAATTGATGTATCTCTCTCACATCAATGTTTCTTTCTCTCTCTCACCCCCCTCTCCCACTTCCATTTTATCCCTAAAAAGCAATAGGAAAATATCCTCTGGTGAAGATTTAAAAAAAAAAAAAAAAAGAATGAGAAGGCATTACGCATGCACAAAGAAGAGTTTGGGGGTGGGGGTAAAGGAAGAAAAGGAGAGGGAGAAAGAAACATGGAGGGAGAGAGATACATTTCATTAAAAGCTGAGACTCCCTCTCCACTGGGTGGAGGTCTTGGTCTCACCCCCTGTAGGTAGGCAAACTAAGAGGGACAGGAGGCACAGCTGAACATCAACAAGGTCTCATCCCCCAGCTGCCCATTCGCCTCGTTCTGCAGGAGGCAGTGACAGGGCAGCAGGCGCCCTGCACCGAGCCTGAAGGTACGGGCTCTACCCCAGCTCCAGCACCTGGCGGGTCTGTGACATGGGCCAGCCAAAGGGCTGCTCAGCTTCCAACTCTCCTCTGCAAATTTAGGGTAATAAAGCCACACATCTTCTCTTTCTTTTTTTCTTTTTTTAAAATATTTTTTTATTGATTTCAGAGAGGAAGGGAGAGGGGGAGAGAGAAACATCAATGATGAGAGATAATCATCTATCGGCTGCTTCCTGCATACCCCCTACTGGGGATTGAGTCCGCAACCCAGGCACATGCCCTTGACCGGAATCGAACCTGGGACCCTTCAATCCGCAGGCCGACGCTCTATCCATTGAGCCAAACCGGACAGGGCCACACATCTTTTCTTTCATAGTGTTGTAAGGACCAGATAAAATTACAGATGCAAAAGCGTTTTATAGACACTGAAGTTTTATGTCACAATATTGTTATGTGCTACAAAGATAGAACATAAGGAGATGAAGAATATTTGGGAGTGATCAACACTAACGTAGGAGACAAGTGCTTAGTGCAGCCCAGCTTTTAAATGTGCAATTATTCTGTAAGACAGGAAAACACACCAATGCTTCTGCCAAACATGTTAAGAAAAAAAATCGCACTAAAGTGGACAAAAACAGATAATAAAAAAAAATGTTGCAACAAAGGATACTTATTACTGCAACTCTTGGTCTGAATACATGATGAAAAGACCTTCACCAAGGCAATAAAAATAGAAAATAGGCTTTTAAAATCTCTTTATAACAGTGGTAAACCGAATTAGAGATCTATGGTAGTGTGATAAAATTATATTCTGCTAGAAAAGCAAACATGCAGATCATAAGCTAACATTAGTCAATGCAAGGGAGCCTGATATTAAATTTATCTATCACAGTGTATATGGAGACTATCAAATAAATTATTTAGGTGTTAGAAAGTGGTTCCAAGAAAGGATATGATGAAAATGTTCTAGTTTATTCTCCAGTTTTGTTCTTAGATTGTCTGCTCGCCCTCACTCCCTCCCCCTCACTGATGAGTTGTAACACTCCGTCATAATGGGATAGACTTAATAACAACCCTGCTATTCTTCCCTCCCGGTTTTTCTTCAAGTGTTCGAGCGACATTTCTATATTAAATTCATTAAAATTAAGAGTGGTTTGATAACCTAGAGAAGCCCTTTGGGAAAATGGACATTCTAAACGGGAGATTACAGGGTTTTGTGACTTAAGGAGAGACATTTCTTAGCATGTTATTTAGAACTTTAATATTTTTGTCATATTAAAAAAAAATCTCAATTTACTGAAGCTCTCTCTACATGGGACTGGGACACATCGTTTTCTGTTTAACAATATTGAATCAAGTTTCCTCTCCAAGAAATAGCACTAGTTGGGAAAGCAATAACTGCCTTAACTTGCATTGGCAACAATATTTCTTTGATGTTACAGGGAATTTGGGACCCCTTTCTTTTTTATCCTTTCTGAACGAACCCCTAATAGGACCAAAGTCTACCTCAGGCATCAAGAAACTGAAGAGAGTCTGGACAGAGCGGCTTAGTGGTTGAGCATCGACCCATGAATCAGGAGTCCATGTTCCATTCCCGGGCACGTGCCTGAGTGGCAGGCTTGATCCTCAGTGGGGGGCATGCAGAAGGAGCTGATTGATGACTCTCTCTCTCATCATTTAATGTTTTTATACCTCTCCCTTCCTCTCTGAAACCAATACAAATATTTTAAAATTATCTTAAAAAGAAAAGAAAAGAAAAAAGAAATGGAAGAGAAATAGCTTGGCTATTTATGGTGACTGTTACTCTGGAAAAGCTCATCTTGAGTCCAGCATGCTAACTGGAGTCTTCGCTTCTTCATTGTTAACCCCAAGACAAGGCCGTCACCCTTTGTGACTTTAGAGAAACACACAAATGCTCAAACACATAATTCCCCAACTGTCTCTTTGCAACAGGCCTCTTCCCAGGCTTTAGTATAATTGATTCTTCTATTTTGATGCAATGAGCGTGAAGCTCATTAAACTGGAGGCATGCCAGGTCACTTGGTGGGGCTAACGCAGGAGATGGTATTTAAATGACAGTTTGCAAAAGCTGAGAATAATTTTGCCCCGAGCACCGAGGCTGAAGTGTTGGAGCGCTGATGTTCAAGCTCTGATTAAAGGGCCATGTGACAGTAAAGCAACAAGCAGACTGTCAAATTACAGTGGGGAGGGGAAGAAGATCTGGGGGAGATAATAGATCAACTGAAGGACTTGTATATATGCATATAAGTACAACCAATGGACATAAAACTCTGGGGAGGGAGGGTATGTATGGGAGGGAGGGAGGAGGCAAAAAAAATCAATAAACTATATTAAAAATAATAATAAAAAATTAAAAATTAAAAAAAAATAAAGGGCCATGGCACACCTGGGCACGAAGCATTTCCGAGACTTGACGGAATGAAAGCACGTTACCATACTCTACGTGTGGGTGACACCAACGGCAACCATAAATAAGAGCTACACTTACTGCACCGTTATTATTTTCTTGGCATTGTGTTAGCACTTTAAATAATAATCACAGCTAGCATTTTTGAGCGGTTCTGTGTGCCAGGTATTGTCATATATGTTCTTACATATATTATCTAATTTGATCCTACAATAGCCCTTGAAAATGTGGGTTATTGTCTTCACTTTACAGATAAGATACTGAATGTCAGAAAGCTTACACAGCTTGTTAGAGGTCATATAGCGTGTAAATGGTGAACTAAGGTATGTCCACTGGGACCCTTCAGATGGTCCTAGAAGCCAGCCCTATCTTGTCCAAGGTTGCTCGACCTTTTTAGCATAACTTATATGAACTCTGTGGTTGTAGTGCTTGGTGCTGACATCGGAAAGAAATCCCTGTCCATGTACACATGTTTTACTATATTCTGCTCCCCAACGGATCGTTAAGTGTGTCTACCTTTGAGAGCATTTCCTCCCCCTCTCAAGGATGCCTTGCTTCTCACAAAACAGGTCCTCCTGTCCCTGGGGTCATGCCAGTGTTGGGAGAGTGCACCCGGCTCAGTTCAGCGATTGACAACCTGACACACAACACTCCAGCGTGGGCCTTTGTGTAAACTGCACCGTGAGCTGGACTGGAGGCTACTTACAAATACATCCTAACTTCTACACGCATACATGAAAAGGGAAAAGAAAACTATGAAAAGAAATCCATTAAAATACCTGCCCATCATCAATATCAACTACATTCAACAGCTTCTACATGCAGATAAAAAAAAATTAGGCATCGGAGCACACACTCTCGCCATCAGGGCCCATTTAGTGCTTCGTCTTCCTAGTTCACTTGGCCATACCCGTTCATGGTGTGCCCGAGATGTTCTGGGGACTGAACTGGAGAAATAAAGATGCCTCAGTCAGGAGTTCCCGCCCCACAGAGAGAGGATTATAGATCGATGGGACCGGCTCTTTGTTTTGGAAGTGGGAGGGAGGAGCACTGGGTTAAATAATTCCACCCTGCTCAAATGGATGTGCTTATTAATAGCAGTGTCATAAGAGTTATACTAACAGCCCGTCCTGCTATTAACTTGTTATTTTCCGTTACCTTGCTCCTCTTGATTCTCTTCATTCTCTAACTCTTTGGCTGCAAAGATGTCTTTAATGGAAATTAGGTCATTTTTGAAGAGTTCCAGCTTCTCTCCATCAAATGATGCTAAAAATGACTGAACCTGCAAAAAGAAATAGGTCAGCATAACTGTCATCCTTTCTTCTCCTTAATAACATTCACGCACAGGCGTGCCCAGGTCTCCCGGGACCGAGGCGAATCCTGGCGTGGGGTGATGTAGACTTTGGTAAGGTTGAATGAACTGCCTATTCACTGTGCAACTTTGAGTCCGTTACGTAAGCTCCCTCGGCCTCAGTTTTTAAAACTTCACAGTGAGACCCAGACTTCTCCTGTGGTTGATGTGCGGTAAACAAGAGGACGAACGTGCAGGGCATGGCACGGGCGCCCACAGCAGGCCGTTGAATGAATGGAGGCAGGAGCTCCTGGCGGACAGTGCTTACAAACACACTTCGGTGTCAACCCTAGAGTCAAATATCAGCTCCTCATTTAGTAATTATGTGACCTTGAGCAATTTATTTATTTATTTATTTATTTTTATTATATCAAAGCCTTTATTACACTTTATTCCTCCTTCAAACAACCTGCCTCTAAATCTCCTCCCTTCCTCACCCCCAATCTGTGATTGCAAGGCTTCATGATATCACTTTCACTGGACAGGGGTCAGATCTAATCTGGCCACACAAGACCGAAAAGCTACACCAAGACACGCCACACGCAGCAAACCTCTTCATTCCTGCACCCCACTCAGGATCTATGACCTTGGGCAATTTAATCTTTCTATGCCTCAGCTCCAAATGGTTGGTATCTTTCAAACGGGGACTAAAAGCATCTACCTTATAAGGTTGATCTCACTCATCCAGGGGAAAGGATGAACAACATAGACTGATGAATAAAAACAGACCCGGAGACAGGGAAGCATCGATCAGACTGTCAAACCTCAGAGGGAAGGGAGGGGAGGGTGGAATTAAAGGGAAGAGATCAACCAAAGGACTTGTGTGCATGCATATAAGCCTAACGAGTGGTCATAGACAACAGGGGGGTGGGGGAATGCATGGGGAGGGGTTTGGGATGGGAATGGGGTGGGAGATGAGGACAAATATGTGATACCTTAATCAATAAAGAAATTTTAAAAAAGTATTACCAGTGATGATCAAGACATTTCATATACATATATATATATATATCCACATATATCTATCTATATATATATACATACACATGTAGACAAATATGTATTATATACCAGGTATACACAGATATATACACAAGTATGTGTGTGTGCACGTGCACACACACACACACACACACACACACACTTGGGTGGGTTATTGTACTGGAGTTGCAAAAATGCACAAAATACAGTTTTCTTCTCGGAGATCTTGTAGTCCAGGAGAGGGAGCCCATGATAACCTATAAACCATGACGGTGCCAGTGAAGTGTCAGTGGGGCATCAGCGAGGGAGCTGCCCATCCCCCAGAGGAGGCGAGAGGGTGGGTGAGGTCTGGTGTCCTCCCTGAACTGCTGTTCTCCCTGCCCATTGTCTTCAGCTCCCCTCTTTGAAAGCATCCTTTGTAAACACTGAAAAATTACACCGAAACTGGTTTGGCTCAGTGGATAGAGCGTCAGCCTGCGGACTGAAGGGTCCCAGGTTTGATTCCGGCCAAGGGCATGTACCTTGGTTGCGGTCACATCCCCAGTAAAGGGTGCGCAGGAGGCAGCTAGTCGATGTTTCTCTCTCATCGATGTTTCTAGCTCTCTATCCCTCTCCTTTCCTCTCTGTAAAAAAATCAATAAAATATATTTTTTTAAAATTAGTTGTACCGACGGTCAGTCATCTCTGCGAGTCTGAACATGGATTTCCATTTCCAAGCTGGCCGAAGGGCATGGTTCTCACCCTGTGAGGTACGACCGTACAGCATAAGGCTTTTAACTTTTCATTCTGCGGGCCAACCCTCACTCTGGAGGGAGAGCCAGCAGAGGAACTGCCATGCCCTTTAGAATGTGCTTTAATATTCACGATGGCAGTAGATTCGCACATCAGGATAAGTGAGCGAGTTAGAGAGGGCACCGGGATGCCAGCACACCAATTTCCTAAACGTTGCTAATGCAGCCAGCGCCCGAAGCTCTGAGCAGAGGCCCGGCGGGAAGTCATCAACACAAAACCCATTAGCCTAGCGGGGGGCAGCAGGTGAAAGCAAATGCCCGCTGCAGAGGCTGCCACCCCCTCCCTTTTCCCCTGGACCGCCCGCCTCTGTCCAACTCTCTCCTGCGGCTCCCACACTCAGGTTTAGGTCTCAGGGTCCTAGATGTGCCCACATCAAATTCCGACGCTTCAGACATATTCTCTAAACAGCAGCTGTCTGTGAGTAGAAATAAAGGTAATGGAATAAGTGCGTGACAGCACATCCCTTAGTGAAAATGTACACGCCCGTGGAACATTTTGGTTTCCCCGTGGCCTCTGGCGGGGAGCTATCTTCCTGCAGTGACTGCGGCCGGGCTTTCTGCTCGGGGCACGCCTGGGAACGGGTCTTTTAAGCAAAGGACTCATTTGTCTGCATCTGTCTACTACAGCTTCTCTTTTGCTTCCTTCTGGTTCATTCCCTTATGCAAGGCAAGGCGCACTGAATCTTTATTTCAATCCTATAATAAATAATTAATTTTGCATGCCTCAATAACCATTTGTGGAATGCTGACTGCGTGCCCGGCACTGTTCTTAAATGCTGTTCTTAAGTGCTGTCGGAACACAAGGACAGACAGTCTGCCTTAAAAACCTTTTCTCCAAAAGGGGGCGTAGGGTACCATTTTTAAGATCCTTGTTTACTCTTTTGTTGAATATTGAGTATAATGGCAATGCAAGTGTTAGTTTTTCCTTAAGATTTATAGGTCACACCACATGCCAACTGCCACCCTAGGACCAATCTGGTAGATACTAATGCTCAGATATTTCCTTATGCCTTGTCTCAGTTTAGCCAATGGAATGTTAGCAGAGGAGGCAGAAACCATGTCTGGGTCAAAGCTTTTAAAAAATGGGAGTGCGTGCCGAAACCGGTTTGGCTCAGTGGATAGAGCATCGGCCTGGGGACTGAAGGGTCCCAGGTTCGATTCCAGTCAAGGGCATGTACCTTGGTTGTAGGCACATCCCAGTAGGGGGTGTGCAAAAGATGGCTGATCGATGTTTCTCTCTCATCAATGTTTCTGACTTTCTATCCCTCTCCCTCTCTGTAAAAAATCGATAATATATATATATATATATATATATATATATATATATATATATATGTAAATGGGAGTACCTGCTCTTAGGCTGTGGGACTGAGAAGACACTAGATGATGGTAAGTAAAAGACAGTACTTTAGATTGAACACAGGGGAGTCCGCAGGGCAAAGGGAAAGGCTGGCCAGATCCGTACGCCGCCTTCTGGACCGCCCTCCTCCAGGGGACGCTCCACGTTGCCTTCCTGCAGGGACCTCTTTCCCCCGGCCGTGCTCCTCACAGAGGGATCGGCTACTGGAGAGTGCACTTCGGGCCCAGGGTGACAGAGAGATGGCTGTTTGCAGGGTGTGCTCGAACTTGAACTAAGTCATCATGACCTGTGCACGTGAGGCTCTCTGAGGTGGCAGACAGCTGGAGATGAAGGGAGGAGAGCAGGCAGGAGGGTGGTGCGGAAACTGGAGGAGTTCTGAGAAGTCTAAACAGGAACCTGGCCTTCCAGGCCATTAGACAGTATATGTGTCAAGGATGGGATGGGGGAGAATATTCTCTTCAGCAGCCTGTTTCCAAAAGCGCTTTTACTCTTAAATATTTGGTATGTGTAGGGTTGCCAGATAAAATATAGGCCAGTTAGTTAAATTTGAATTCTGGATAAACAACGAATATTTTTGTAGTATAAATGTTATGTCCCAAATGTTGCACAGGACATATTTATGCTTTAAAAAAAAAAAAAGCATTCGTTGCTTTTCTAAAGTTAAATTTAACTAGTCATCCTGTATTTTTGTTGTTGTTGTTCAAGCTGACAACCCCAGCATCAGTCTCCATCTGCATTCTTGCCAGAGGCCTGTGAGCATGAGGATGGGCCTAGTGGAGACACAAGATGGGCAGAGCCTGGCTCCTGGACCCTACATGCAGGAAAGCTTCCCGCCAACCAGGCACCCCCATCCGGGACTGTTACAGGAGGGAGGATATGGATTTGACCCATAACATTTTAGGACTTTTTATTATAGCATGCAGGAAGTAACATCATTAAGCCAAGAAAAAGTCTACATTCCTTACTATGGAAACTGCAAAAACCTCCAGGTTGGGGAAGGAAAGCTAAGCTGCGTTTGAGGGAGCAGTGTGCAAACAGAGGGAAATGCCTCCCCCCAGGGACCTCACCGCCCTCCTAGCAACGGCAGTCCTTCGGGGCTTTCTCTTTTCTAGGGACCTGACCTGTGGCTGTTTCACGGCTGGGACCTGCGGTGGAACCAGCCAGGGTGAAATCTCTCCAGCTACCACCATGACAGCTCCGAGGGGTCATGCTCCCCTTAATGTTTTTAGCATTAATAACAAATACATGAGAATTCATATAAAAATAAAATGTCATCAACATTACAGATTACCTATACACATATATGTATACAATAAAATGGCAGCTAACATTTACTGAGTGCTTATTATGGATAAGGCATGCTGAGACTAATTTCACATGGATCATCTCAATTATTTTACTAACCCTGTGAAGTAGGTTTTCATTCCCTTTCCCATTTCAGAGCTAAGGAGACTGAGGTAAGAGGAGTCTAAAACCATACAGCTACTGAGTTATATCTGATCACGTAATATCTGACCCCAAACAGCTTTGTAGGGAAAACTCTGCTTCAATAACGCACCTCTTCTCAAATCATCGGATTCTGCTCTATGGGAGTCATTTTATAACTCGCTGAATTGTAGATAGCTGCTAGAAGCACAAAAGTAATTCTTGACTACAGATATGTGAGCGAATTTTGTCCAGGGGAGGGACAACCTCCTCTGCAAAAACCAGATTTGTGTCCATTCATTTGGAAATTGTTTTACTCCGTATAAATCTGTGCTTCCTGGGCCCTTCCTTTTGACTCAGTTATAATAGTTGTTCAGTTCTTTCATTTAACTAATGAAATAAATAAATGATTTAATTCATGTTCATTTCATATCTCATGATTCTGCCTTTAAAAAGATTATCTGTTAGCAGTTTAACCAGAAGACTGTCACTGATGGCTCCTGGGTAACTGAAAAGGACATAAACACAGATAGTAACTTGTAACTCAATAATCCTGTGGGTGAGGAGTGGGGATGTGTGTTTCCATCCTGTTTGGTCCTTGGTTGCCTGCTCTGTGGCGGATGTCATCTTCCCCTGACTAGGTAGAAAGGATGCCTCAATCTTCTCAAAGTCCAAAATTGAAATGAGAAGGCCTAGATTCCAAACCTCTTCTCCATTCGGAGGCTCACCTCCAAGTTTAGCTTCCTGTCTGAGCACCTGCCTCTCCCCAGTGAGTGGCCCACAGCTCCTCCTAAACCATAGCCCCTCATGTGAGGTCCAAAGGGCATTGCTGTAGGGTCTCCCCTGGAAAAGTACCCGAGAATACAGGCAAGCTGACATCCACACAGAAGAGCCATACATACAATTACATGAGTTAACAGTTTTGACGGAAGATGCTTTGATTTGGGGTGATGGGCACACAGTATACTATACAGATCTCATATCATAGAAATGTACACCTGAAACCTATATGTTCCTATTAACCAATGTCACCCTGATAAATTTAATAAAAATAATAAAATAAAATAAAGTGCTTAGAATGGTGACTATATAAGTGCCAATATAAGTGTTTGCTAACTAAAGATACATATATATATATATATACACACACACACACACACACACACACACACACACACACCATGTAGATCCTTTAGAAAAGAAATCACCACACCCTGCTGATTTTTGCTCTTCATGTTTTGTTTTTGTTAATCCTCACCCTAGGATAGTTTTCCATTGACTTTTAGAAACAGTGGAAACGGGTGGGAGAGGCAGAGAGAGAGAAATGAGATGAGATGTGAGACACATTGATGGGTTGCCTCTTGCACGTACTTCAATCAGGACCGGGGGTCAAGCCTACAACCAAGGTACATGCCCTTGACCAGCACTGTGTCCATGAGACAAACTGGCTAGGGCGATGTTTTATTTCTTGGGATCACAGCAGGGAATGTGAACATGTAGGTGAACATGCAGGGCTGCTAGGTGGCTTCTCAGGAGCATTCCCAAATAGAACTGTAACCACCAATAAGATACTCCTGCCCATGGTAGCCCAGACAATCTAACAAATGGGTGATTAAACATATAACCCATAGAACTAAATGTATTAAGACTCCACAGTCTGGAACCAACATCAGCCGCTTTGTTTTCACTGGGTGGGAAGGAAGATGGGCTTCTGAGGGCGTCTTTGATCTGGGTTCTATGTCAGCAAAGAGAGGTGCAGGGCCAGGAGAATGACGGCCAAGCTTCGGAGCAGCCTGTGGCACCGTTAGGTCTGGCTAGGGATGACTCTGACTGTGCTGGCCCTCTTGGGCATGGGGAGGAGTAATAGCTTGGCACAGGACAAAGAGGGAATAGTATAGAGCATGGAGGGGGGGCGGTCATAGGCTGTACAGTATTTGTGACTTGGGCACCATATTAAGGAGGTGCTTTAAAGGCAGATTTCCCAGTTTCTTTCCTATTTAAGAAAACACGTTGATGAACATGCCATTTTGAATGATCCGTGCAGACATACCTTGCTTTCGCTTTCATTGGATAGGATTTCCAGAGCTTCCAGGTGTGACAAACCTTGGTACTCGTCAAACAGCATCCCGTAGTGTGCAGTCCTCTCGGCCGTGACCTGCTGCGCCAGTCTCTGCTTCTCCTTCTCCTTGGCTTCCCTTAGCATCTGCAGAAATACGCAATATTCGTACACTCACTGTGTGCTGCGATATCCGTACACTCACGTGTGCTGCGATATTCATACACTCACTGTGTGCTGCAATATCCGTACACTCACTGTGTGCTGTGATATCCGTACACTCACTGTGTGCTGTGAATCCGTACACTCACTGTGTGCTGCGATATCCATACACTCACGTGTGCTGCGATATCCGTACACTCACGTGTGCTGCAATATCCGTACTACACTTACTGTGTGCTGCAATATTCGTACATGCACTGTGTGCCCGGAAGTCCCATTTCCTGCCTAAGACGAAGGGGGCGATGAGGGCTGACTCTGCATTTGTAAAAGTATGTTTTAGTCACTTTGGAATTCTTTTTTTTTTTTTTTTAATGGATGGTTTTGATGAATTCTACTGAAATTTTTTACACAATATTCCACTTTGAATTTTACATGTTCATTATGTACACAACAAAACAAAGGAAAAATTCCATGCCCTGGTATAGGACTGGAAAGAGGCACAACAGAAGTTCAACAGTGGTTTCCACAGATGTGTTTTCTGTGTGTGATTAAATTCTCTACAATGTCAACATTTTTTATAATGAGCAAATGTGTGTGCACTAGAAAAGTTTAATCTACTATGACAGTATTAACTGTGATGGCTGCACTTAGGCACACTTCAAAGCAGAAACTAACTGACCTGATTATATCTGAGTCACATTATTTAAAAATTTGTGTATGTGTGATTATTAAAACACACAAAATTAATAAGATATAAATTCATAATATATTCCTCACTAGATCCTGAATAAAAATAAGAATGTTAGCTTGGCAGTTCTTAGATCGCTCGGGAGAAGTATGACTGTGAACTGAGTTCCTCTCCTCGTTGATAATTTTTCTCACATTATGTTTTCTGTTGATTAAATAAAAGGACAATGAAAGGAACACAAGTCCACCAGTCACTCCCAGCTTTCTGCACTTGCTTTCTTTGATTTTATACCTCATTTATTCGATGCCTCATCAAATTTACTGGGGCATTAAGTTTATAGGGTTATTTTAATATCTGTGAAGAGCACATAAAGACACTGGCCACCACAAGGTCAGTTAGGAAAGAGCACGGAGAATAGATTTTCTTTTTATTATGTGTCAATAAAACAATCAACCACTTCCTTTTTTTGAGTCTTAATGTTATTGACTGAGAACCCACAGGGCCGCAGACAGACCCTCCCTCCTACTTGTCTTTAACTAATAAGTACAAGCTCTGAATTTTAACGTTTTCCAAACAACCCCATCACACCACTGGCAATTTTTAACACGATAAAACCCAGTGAAGAAGGCTGATGGGGAAAAAAAATCACTCATTTGAAATACGGAGTTGGAGGAGAGCTCCACGACGGATCCTCAGGAAGATGGACAAGTGGGTCCCACAGCAAATTAAGCCTGAAACCTCACTGGAGGGAAAATGCCAACACTGACGCTGTCCTTTGGGCACTTCATGAAAAGGTGGGGGTTTTGGAAAAGACAATCATGCTGGGCAAGAGAAAGCAGCAGGAAAAGAGGAAGACCAAACAGGAGAAGAAAAGAAGTCATAGGCTTGGGTCTACAGGAGCTGAGCAGGAGGACAGGCCACGGTGGACATCACTCAGTCACCAGGAGTCGGAGCCAATCAAAGTGGCAGGGAACACACACACACACACACACACACACACTCCTCCCCCCTGATCTCACTGGGTTGGAACCAGGTGGTAAAACGAAAAAACCAGTTGACATTGAAATGGCTTCCTTTCTCTACACCAACTTCCATCTCTGACTTTGTACTTCGATATAGAGGGGAAAGGGCTGAAATGGAAGGGAAAGGGAAAGCGTCATCCTGGAATGATTTGAATTCACTCCCAAGAGTTGCCTTAAAGAAGACCTGGCTTTACCCAGGATGTTGGTTCTCTTTTCCCTCTGGAAAGGAGAAGGGTTTAAAAAGCAAGGAGTGATTCTGGCGTGAGATCGGGGAAATGTTCCCCAGTGAGTTCCACTGGGAGAGAACCACGAGGCATGCGGGCTGTGCCTGGGTGAACACTTCCGATTCCCACTGTCGTTGGCTGTGGGTTAGGGAAACCCTAGCAGATTCCCTCAGCTAGTGGCAGCGTCATCCCTCCAACTGCTCAGGCTGACACCTCGGAGCCATCCTTGCCTCCTTCCTCTACCTCACACCCCACACCCAGCCCTTCAGGAAATCTGCAAAGGCCTTCGCACTGCACCCAGGATCACACTCATGACCACCTTCATGGCTCCACGCTGTGCCAGGCCTCTACTATTGGTTTTTTTTTTTTTTTTTAAATATATTTTATTGATTTTTTACAGAGAGGAAGAGAGAGGGATAGAGGGCTAGAAACATCGATGAGAGAGAAACATCCATCAGCTGCCTCCTGCACACCTCCTACTGGGGATGTGCCCGCAACCACAGTACATGCCCTTGACCGGAATCGAACCTGGGACCCTTGAATCTCTAGGCCGACGCTCTATCCACTGAGCCAAACTGGTTTCGGCTACTACTTCTTGTTTTATTGACAAAGAAAAACCTGCAAAAAAAAAAAAAAACATAAGCCCACCTGAGATAACGAAACGGTTCTTTCCATGAGTGTCTTGGTCCGCTTAAAGCCCGGGTCACTTTCTGCGAGGACATTCATGGTTTTCTTGCCGATGAACTCCAAAGCATCAAGCCCGCCTGTTAGGACGCTCTTACCCTGCAGATAGGGGAGGGGGGTGGCATGAGGTTAGATTTTTACATTTTGCCGCTTCCCAGCTGTCAGTAGCTCCCAGAGGGCTCTGTCTTCAAATAGTGATATCAATATGACGTCAAAATTTTTTTTTTTTTCATCAGGAGATTTATTGACCACTTAATCTGATTTGCTTTCCCTTGGAAGAGCATTCGTCATGTAATTTGTAGGATATGCAATGTTATTTTAAAAGGATGGTTGGAAAAACAAAACAAAACATACCTGGGATAACGTTGACCAGCTCTGAGTGTATGAATACATATGTATCAAGGACATAAAATTAATAGGTGACCTGATTGCTACTTTGAAAAAATTTTAAGCCAAGTAACAGAGTTACGTGGAGCAATCTATTAAAATGTCAAATGCTCTTGGCAGTTTAGGGAATTCTTTAATCGAGGGCCCTGGAGTGTAGAAGCCTTAGGCTGTTTCAGATGGCTCTTCCATACTTTTAGAAACTAGTAATAACTGCCTATGATTAGTATATTCATGAACAGACAGGCTGATTTCCATATACTACTGGCTTCAGACACTGTTCTGTTACACAGTTATTCTCTTGTGAATCCTTTTGTCAGTCACTGTTTTCCTTAAAAAAAAAAAAAAGTTGAAAACAATCATCTTTCTCACATAAGCTGTTCATATAAACAGAACTGCTTAAAGTCTTTGCAACTTCTGCACATGCCCTCCGATTGTACAACTGCAATTACAATATGCATATACCTGTGTTCTTCCCACCTTACCTGAATTTATATACATTATATTTTATTATTATACTAGAGGCCCCGTGCACAAGATTTGTGCATGGCGGGGGGGGGGGGGGTCTCCTCAGCCCAGCCTGCACCCTCTCCAATTCTGGATCCCTCTCACAATCCGGGACCACTGGCTCCTAACTGCTCACTTGCCTGCCTGCCTGATCACACCTAACTGTCCATGCCTGCTGGCCTGGTCATGCCCAACTGCCCCTCCGAAGGTGTAGTTCCCCCCAACTGCCCCCTCCTGCTGGCCTGGTCACCCCTAACTGCCCCCCCCGCCAGCATGGTTGCCCCTCAGTACCCCCCTCTGCTGGCCTGGTAGCCCCTCATTGTCCCCCTCTGCCAGTTTGGTTGTCACCAACTGCTCCCCCCTCCCCCCCGTGGGCCTGGTCACCCCACACAACCTGTTCGGTTGTCCGTTGGGTTGTTTTGGATGTGATGGTCGCTTAGTCATATATATATATATATATATATATATATATATATATATATATGTATATAATTATTATTATTACCTGCATGCATTTCCAAATTTTCATAATTATCACTTCAATAACAATATTCTATTTCCCTGAGTTAATATGCTTTTTCCATCATTTCCATCCTGGACATTTAGACTTGTTTCCAGATTTGGGTACAAATCAATACTCGCACTGTACAACAAATCTTAAAATACACATACTTTGGGAGGACTGGGATATTGGCCATTCACACTTCTGTATATTTGATTTATTTTCTTCTAACATTCTATGGGGGATTACTAAAGTACGTAGAGGATAAAATGAGAGAAAGAAGGTCATAGGGACTATGAATAAGGGCAGCCCTGGTGGGGGGTGTCTGGAGCTTGGGAAAAGAGAACTTAGTGGCCGGGACCGGTTTGGCTCAGTGGATAGAGCGTCGGCCTGCGGACTGAAAGGTCCTGGGTTCGATTCTGGTCAAGGGCATGTACCTTGGTTGCAGGCACATCCCCAGTAGGGGGTGTGCAAGAGGCAACTAATCGATGATTCTCTCTCATCGATGTTTCTAACTCTCTATCCCTCTCTCTTCCTCTCTGTGAAAAATCAATAAAATATATTTAAAAAAAAAAAAGAGAACTTAGTGACCTCCCAACCTGCAGTTTCACTTTGCAAGGTTTCAGTTACCAGCGGTCAACAGCAGTTCGAAAATATTAAATGGAAAATTCCAGTGACAAACAATTCATATGTTTTCAGTTGCACAGCGTTCTGAACAGTGTGACCTCAGTTGGGGTACCTCCCACTTTTTTCACTATCCATCTGTTTTGTTGCCAATCACAAGTTTCTTTAAGAGGAAGGCAGCCCCCTCCCCGAAGCCAGGGGTGTGATTGGGGGGACAGACTTTGAGTTATTGGAGGAAGGGAGAGTGGAAACTGGGACGTGGGAATGGGGGAAGAATGTGGGTCTTAGTTATCTGGAAGCGCTTTAGGAACATCTTGGGGATGTTGTTCCTGACTCTTTACCAGAATTTGTGTTTATGTAAGTGGCTTTATGATATTTCCAGCGTTGAGGGGAAAACAGCTGTCCCAGCTCTGAGAACCAGCCCTCTCTCCCCGCAGCCAGACTGTCCTTGCAGCAGCCGGAGGACAGTCACATCAGGCTGAGAAATGTTCCTTTTAAACACTTCCTTTCTTTTAAACATACAATGCATTTCGCTTTGCCCTTATTATTTTGGTTCCAAGGTTTACGCCTACTCTGTAGGAGGAGGCATAACAAAACCGTAATCCCAAGTTGTGAGCAAGGCCCTTTTTGCTCTGCTGTATCTAGGTCACTGGTAAATAGAGATATCAAAGGGAGGCGCCGGGAGACTCCAGGGAACATGGAGGAAGCAGCTGAGGACTCACTGTGTTTTGAACCACATTGGTGATGGCGGACAGCATGCCCCGGGACCCCGACGAAGGGGACGTGGGCGGGCCTTCCTCTGGGCTCTTGTCTGGGGCCGTCTCTGCTGCTAAAGGGAGAAAAGATGGTTTCACAGTTCATTTCATGGATCTGAAATCTTCTATTCTGTGCATCTAGCGTCATAAAGCCCAAGTCCAAGAAGCCCCGGATCAATACAGCACTCACTTGGAGGGACGCCATTTTCGGTGTCAGGTTGGGCCCCTTCGGGAGAGCCAGAATTTACACCATGGATCCGTAGGGCCCCTGCTTTTTCCTTGACTGCCGTCAATCCATGACCTGTGGGGAAACGAAGATATGGTTCATGGCTACAAGAGAAATCCTCAAATTCTAGAGCTCATCTCCCAGAGTGGTGGTGAGCAGGGGTGGTGGTGGACAGCACAGACTTTGCAGTCACTCGGAAGTGGGTCCCAGTTCCAGCTCAGCTTCACCACTGCCTGGGGGTAACCTTGGAGAAGTTTCCTGATCATTCAGTGACTCAGGTTCTTCTCTGGGTTATTGAGAGGAGCAGGAAAGAGAGACCGGTGTGAAGCGCTCCCAGACGCTTTATTATTCCCTGTGGCTTTGCACACTGTCTAACTAGCAACCTGGGATCTCACACCAAAGAGATTACCTGTGAATAGTATTTGATTTCTTGCAGGCCCAGCCCGTGACAGGTGCTCCATTGCTATTTGGTGAACTGAAATCAGTTGAGCTTTAACATGCTCTTTCCACATGTTGGTCATCCTTTAGAGTGGAGAGAGCAGGGTCGGAACCCATGTGTCAAAATCAAAAGGCAAGTCGGTGGGAAAACCAGGCAGGGCACCCAACAGCTCTGACAGTTGTCTGACAGTGAGTCTAAGCAGGAGCTAGAAGAACAGTCAGCCAGGAAGAAGGGCACTGGCTTCACTCCATCTGAGCAGGGACAGAACCTCTCTCCTGGACCCAGCACAGTGGGTATTCAGTAACTATTGGGTAAATACAGAGCTGACCGTCTCATGCCCTACCCAACCCCAACACACACACACACACACACACACACACACACACACACACACACACACACACGTTCTCTTGGCTTGATACATACAGGGTGTCCCCCCAAAATGTATACAGATATAGCTGATAGCTGTAGATTCTACTGCATGTTGATAATGAAATACATTTTAATAAACACTGCCTTTTGGGGGGGGACACCCTGTATTCCTGTCTGTATTTTATTCTGCAGCTTTATTTGTTTCTCCTGAGAGGCCCTCTTGATGAGCTATAGCTCTTCTCAGAGTCCCAAATCCAACAACAAAAAGATCTCCTGATGCTCCTAAGTGGCTGTTTAGTTCTTGAAGGAGAAACAGCACGAGCTGCCATCATCACAGCACTCACCTCCCGCTAGCACTCTGGGAGAAATGAAGGATCTCACTCGGGATCAGGGCAACCTCAGGTTGTTAAAACCCAAGGCAGCAGCAATATTAATATACGGGGGTGAGGTGGTCGGGTTGGGGGTGGAGGGTCAGATCCCAAGTCATGCCAGGACTTAGAGCCAAAAAGAACTTCCTGGTCTTAAAAGGCACTGTTAAAAAGATCAATTATCCACCTACTGACTAAGAGAGAGACAAAGATGAATCCCAAACCCAAATAGTAGTATTGTAACCACTGTAACTTCATCAGAGTTATCTGAACATAATTAGGATATGGATACTTACCAAACAGACATAGGACTAACTGTACCCAGTGGGAATCAACTATCATTATACATGATCCAGAAAACCCCGTAATACTATCTACGATGTTTGTAACATTAATTACAAGCAGAAACATATGTCTATATTCATGTGAAGATCATTAAATACAGGTCAAATCATTATTGAGTTATATCGGGGGGGAGATGCTCTGTCTCTGCCAAACCCAAGACTTGAATGAATTCTCTCTAGCTTCCAATGAATTCCAAGCAGTTCAACGTGAACTTTCTGGCGTTTCAGTAACACATTTAAGTTACAGAACATAACCATCTAACTTATTTACATACTGAGTCCATATCCCTTGCCATCTTTAAAAAATACATATTGTTAGAAAGGAAATCGTGCACATCCAGTTAGGAATCTATGCTTTACAATTAGATTTCTGAGAGCTACAATCAAGGAATGAATGAGTTTGAGAAGGCTGGGCACATCTGTTACAGCTTCTCTGTGTAAGCTGTGTAAGGAAGCGGATTCCACCTGAGACCAGCAGAGGGTTATGAAACCTCATGGTCATTAGCTCCTCTTTCACCTTTTCCACCCTTTGCAGGTCAGGACCATATCTGATTCTCTTCCTGGAAAAGAACAGCTTCTGACCATCTTAAAAAAACAAATGATCGTGGATATATGTGCATAGGCTGTCTCTAGAAAAATCGCTTTGTTTCTGAAAGGAAATACCATGGGGTGTGTCTGTTTAATAGATATGACAATAGGCTGCTATTCCAACTACACACTTACACTCACAATTTCATTGAGTTGTAATTATACTGCACATATTTAAGTTTCTTCCAGTGCTATATTCTGATGATTAGTTCTTTTTTTTCTGAATTCTTTTGTTAGTGAAAGTACACATTTCTACATTCTACTAGAAACATAAAGCTATGGTCTTTCATAACTAGGCTTTACACTGTACACCACACCCCACTTTGAAGAATAAGTTCTAAAACTTTACTTAGTATGACATCTAGTGCTCAAACAAGGAAGTACAAATATGGAATCATGGTTGCCTTTTGAGTGGGAGGGATGCATTCTCAGACATTGATCAGTTGTACCAATAACAGAGAAAAACAACAAATATGAATAATACTCTAGGGTAGAGTTCCTAAATTAGTTTCTTCACATGTCATCACAAACCCTAAGTATCCTCAAAGAAATCAAAACCCTCCAAATTCCATGGTTCTGAGGATGGGATATCCTCTATCCGTTGACATTGTGGCACTGCAAAGATAAGAATGCTCTATAAATGCTGTGGGTACTGTATAATTTAAAAATAAATGTTAAATGATTGACTGGTGTTTAATTTATTACCTATACTCAAGTGGTTTGCCTAATTATCAGACGGAAATTCATTAACCCCTGGGCCATATTCATATACTGTAAAGAATTGTGAACAAACTTCAAGCATGAATCCTACTCTCTTTAGTTTATTTTCTATATATTCATTTTTAAAAAGAAAAATTACTTACTTACTTAATTAATTAATGAAATAAAATGGAGGAAATGTTATATTAAAATTTTAAGTAGTCAATTAAGATACTTAGGAATAAACTTAACTAAGGAGGCAAAAGATCTATACGCAGAAAACCACAGGATACTGAAAAAACAGATAGAGGAAGACATAAACAGATGGGAGAACATACTGTGTTCATGGATTGGTAGAATCAACATCATTAAAATGTCCATACTACCCAAAGCAATCTATAGATTCAATGCACTCCCCATTAAAATACCAATGGCATATTTCACAGACCTAGAATGAACTCTCCAAAAATCATCTGGAATAAAACAAGACCCCGAGTAGCTGCAGCAATCCTGAGAAAGAACAAAGTAGGAGGGATCTCAATAACAGATATCAAGCTGTATTAAAAGGTAATGTTCTCAAAACTGCCTGGTAATGGCACAAGAACAAACATATAGAGCAATGAAATAGAGAACCCAGAAATTGACCCAAATCATTATGCTCAATTAATATTTGACAAAGGAGGCAAGAACATCCAATGGAGTCAAGACAGTCTCTTCAATAAATGGTGTTGGGAAAATTGGACAAATTCATGCAAAAAATGAAACTAGACCACCAACTTACACCATACACAAAAATAAACTCAAAATGGATAAAGGACTTAAACATATGATGGGAAACCATAAAAATATTAGAGGAATCCACAGTCAGCAAAATCTCAGACATATGCCAAAGCAATATCTTCACCAATACAGCTCCTAGGGCAATGGAAACTAAAGAGAAAATAAGCAAATGGGACTACATTAAAATAAAAACTACAGTGAAATAAATCAACAAAGCAACAAGAAAGCTCACTGCATGAGAGAATGTATTTACCAAGTTATCACCGATAAAGGTTTAATCTCCAACATTTAGAGGGAACTCATACAACTTAACAAAAGGAAGATAAACAATCCAATCAAAAAATGGACAATGGACCTAAATACATACTTTTCAAAAGAGGACATAAAGACCAAGAGACATTTGAAAATATGCTCAAAATCATTAATCATCTGAGAGATGCAAATCAAAACAATAATCCAGTACCATCTCACACCTGTCAGAATGGCTATCATCAACAAATCAACAAATGACAAGTGCTGGCAAGGATATGGAAAAAAAGGAACCCTCATGCACTGCTGGTGGGAATGCAGACAAATGCAGCCACTGTGGAGAACAGTATGGTGTTTCCTCAAAAAAGTAAAAATGAAACTCCCATTTGACCCAGTGATTCCACTTCTAGGAATATATCCCAAGAAACTAGAAACAACCATCAGAAAGGATATATGCAGCCCTATGTTCATAGCAGCACAATTTACCATAGCTAAGATTTGGAAACAGCCTAAGTGCCCATGAGCAGATGAGTGGATTAAAAAACGATGGTACATCTACACAATGGAATACTACGCTGTGGTAAAAAAAAAAAAAAAAAAAAAAAAAAAAAAAAAAAAAAAAAAAAAGAAGGAATACTTACCATTTGCAACAGCATAGATGGAACTGGAGAGCAGTATGCTAAGCAAAATAAGTCAGTCAGAGAAAGATAAATATCACATGATCTCACTCATTTGTGGAATATAATGAACAACATAAACTGATGAACGAAAACAGATCCAGAAATAGAGAAGCATCAATCAGACCTTCAAATCTCAGAAAGAAGGTAGTTAAGGATAGGGGTAAGGGGAAGAGATCAACCAAAGAACTTGTATGCATGCATACAGGCCTAACCAGTGGACACGGACACCAGGGGGATAAGGGCATGAGTGGAGTGGGGAGGGAGGCAATAGGGAGAGAAGGACACATACATAATACCTTAATCAATAAAGATGAATAAATAATAAATAAATAAAATAAACTTAAGTAACCTAATGAGTTAGCTGGTGTCCTACTCGAAGGTCCTTGAGCCTATGGGACCAGTACAAAGTACCCATGGATTAAAATTGTGATTCTTGAGAATTCTTACATCATCAGCAATGTCACATGAATTCATGTGATACTAATAATGATTTACGCAGTCAAGGGTTCTCGTTTTAGTACCATTCTGACAAGTTTGGCATTCTCTGTAATAAAGG